CCTGATTCTACTAATTTGGGTTTTTCTCTCCTCATTTTAGTCAGGTTTGCCAGGGTGTTCGATCTTGTTTATTTTTTCAAAGAACCAACTTTTTGTTTCATTAATTCTTTGTATGGTTTTTTTGGTTTCTATTTCATTGATTTCAGCTCTTTTTTATTATTTTTTCCTTCTATTTGTTTTGGGATTTGCTTGTTCTTGTTTTCTAAGGAGTTTGAGATGTATCATTAGGTCATTGATTGGATCTATAGGTCTAGTTCCTCTTTTATTCATTTTCAATGACCCATTGTTCATTAAGTAATGAGTTATTTCATTTCCAGCTGTTTGCATGTTTTTTGTCTTTACTTTTGTTGTTGAGTTCTAGTTTTACTGCATTGTGATCAGATAGAATGCATGTATATTTTCTATTTTCTTTATATTTGCTGAGGCTTGCTTTGTGCCTAGGATATGATCTATTTTGGAAAGGTTCCATGGGCTGCTGAGAAGAATGTATATTGTGTAGAAGTTGGATGAAATGTTCTGTAGACATCAAGTAGGTCCATTTGATCTATTGTATATTTTAGATCTTGGATTTCTTTATTGATTTTTTGTTTGGATGACCTATCTATTGATGATAATGGGTGTTTAAAGTCTCCCACAACCACTGTGTGGCATTTATATATGCTTTTTAGGTCTTCAGGGTATGTTTGATGAAATTGGGTGCGTTGACATTGGGTGCATACAGTTGATATTTTATTTCCTTTTGGTCTATTTCCCCTTTTATTAGTATGGAATGTCCTTCTTTATCTCGTTTGATCAATGTAGGTTTGAAGTCTACTTTGTCAGAGATAAGTATTGCTACTCCTGCCTGTTTTCGGGGGCCATTGGCTTGGTAAATCTTCCAGCCTTTCATCCTAAGCCTATGCTTATTTCTGTTGGTGAGATGGGTCTCCTGTAAGCAACAAATTGTTGGATCTTCTTTTTTAATCCATTTTGTCAAACGTGCCTTTTGATGGGTGAATTAAGTCCATTAACATTAAGTGTTAGTACTGATAGGTATGTGGTGATTCCTGTCATTTAGTTGTCTTAGTTGTTTGAAGGTTTGATTGTGTGTACCTAAGTTGAGGTTACTCTCTACTTTCTTGCTTTTTCTTTTCCTGTGGTTTGGTGCTGCCTGTCTTTTCATGGTTAAGTTGGTTTCACTTTCTGTGTGCAGAATCCCTTGAAGAATCTTTTGTGGTGGCTTTGTGGTCACATTGTTTTAGTTTCTGCTTATCATGGAAGACTTTTATTGCTCCATCTATTTTGAATGATAGTTTTGCTGGGTAGAGTATCCTGGGGTTGAAGTTATTTTCATTCAGTGCCCGGAATATCTCACCCCACGCTCTTCTTGCTTTTAATGTTTCTGTTGAGAAGTCTGCTGTGATTTTGATGGGTTTACCTTTGATGTTATTGTTTTTTTCTCTCTTACAGCCTTCTCAATATTCTTTCTAGTCTCTGAACTTGTTGTTTTAATGATGATATGTGGTAGTTCTATTTTGATCTGGTCTGTTTGTGTCTGGAGGCCTCTTGCATCTGTATGGGATATTTTTCTAGATTTGGGAAATTTTTGTTTATTATTTTGTTGAATATATTATGCATTCCTTTGCTTGCACCTCTTCTCCTTCTTCGATGCCCATGATTCTCAGTTTGGTCTTTTGATGAGTCAGTGAGTCTTGCATTTTCTTTTCACAGTCTTGAGTTGTTTAACTAATAGTTCTTTGGTTTTTCCTTTAATTACCATTTCATCTTCAAGTTCTGAGATTTCTCTTCTGTTTTGTTCTATTCTGCTGGATTGCCTTCCATTTTGTTTTGCATTCTGTTTCGTTCTTTTTTCTGAGGTTTTTCCATATCCTGGTCGTTCCTCTTTAATGTTGTCTTTTGTCCTGAGTTCATTTATCTCTTTATTATTGTGTTCTTCTGTTTCATTTGGTGTTTATACTTCAGGCTTTTCTCAAATTCTCTATTTTTGTTGTTGGAATTTCTTGAGTCTCCTGTACATTTTGGTTGACCATATCCAGTATCATCTCTATAAAAATTCTCATTGAGTACCTGTATTAGTATGTCTTTCTTTTAAATTATTCTGTGGGCTTCATTGGGTTCTTTGGCAAGTTTATCTTCAATTTTGTTGGAGTCTGGATCTGAGTATCTGTTTTCTTCATTCCCCTCTGGTTCCTGTACTAATTTTTTGCTGTGGGAAACTGGTTTCCCTGTTTTCTGTCTTCCCTTCATTGCCCTTTGGTGTTTTATGTCCCTGTACTGTGTGCAATTAAGTATTTTCTAGCTTGTAATAATAACAATGGTGATATTTAGAGGAAGGGTGAAGGAGAGGGAAAGCAAAGAAGTTAAAGAAAAGGGAAAAAACAATAAACAAAAAACAAAAAAAAAACAAAAGTTTCAAAGATATAAACAGGGAGAGATAGTGTACTAATACAGTAAAAGCTGAAAGGCATAGAGAACAGAGAGAGCATTTAGAAAAAAAATAAAAAAGAAGAAAAGAAATTAAAAAATTTAAAAATCTCCAAGTTCAAATGCATAAGTTTCAGTCTTAATAACTTTGGTGTTAGTCCCTCAGTCTCCAATCCTGGAGATTGTGCCTCAGAGTTGTTCGTGTCTCATCAAAGGGGAAAAAAAAACAAACACAAAACAAAAAAAAAAACACACAAGTGTCCAAGTTCAAATGCAATACAGTTTCAGTAAGTTTTCAGCATGCAGGTGTAGTTCAGGTTGTTGTCTCATCAAAGGTAGGGAGAGAAAAAAAAAGAGTCTGGAGACAGGTCTGTTGAATGGTATCTATGGGCTGTGGCTCACCTGCCCACTGCTTGTCAGCCTTCTGTTGTTGAGGCTTTATTTATGCAAATCTCAGGTAGCTGCTACAAGCTTTCCCCTTGTCCAAGCACACTTGGGGAGGTGACATGCACCTGCTTTCTCAGGCCTTGCATGTTATTACAGTTTCAGTGGGAAGTTCTTCCCCCCCTCTCTGTGGAGTTTTCCTCCCACCGCCATTTTTTTTTTTTTTCATTTTTCTTTTATTATTCATATGTGCATACAAGGCTTGGTTCATTTCTCCCCCTGCCCCCACCCCCTCCCTTACCACCCACTCCACCCCCTCCCTCTCCCCCCCCTCAATACCCAGCAGAAACTATTTTGCCCTTATTTCTAATTTTGTTGTAGAGAGAGTATAAGCAATAATAGGAAGGAACAAGGGTTTTTGCTGGTTGAGATAAGGATAGCTATACAGGGCATTGACTCACATTGATTTCCTGTGCGTGGGTGTTACCTTCTAGGTTAATTCTTTTTGATCTAACCTTTTCTCTAGTTCCTGTTCCCCTTTTCCTATTGGCCTCAGTTGCTTTAAGGTATCTGCTTTAGTTTCTCTGCGTTAAGGGCAACAAATGCTAGCTAGTTTTTTAGGTGTCTTACCTATCCTCACCCCTCCCTTGTGTGCTCTCGCTTTTATCATGTGCTCATAGTCCAATCCCCTTGTTGTGTTTGCCCTTGATCTAATGTCCACATATGAGGGAGAACATACGATTTTTGGTCTTTTGGGCCAGGCTAACCTCACTCAGAATGATGTTCTCCAATTCCATCCATTTACCAGCGAATGATAACATTTCGTTCTTCTTCATGGCTGCATAAAATTCCATTGTGTATAGATACCACATTTTCTTAATCCATTCGTCAGTGCTGGGGCATCTTGGCTGTTTCCATAACTTGGCTATTGTGCATAGTGCCGCAATAAACATGGATGTGCATGTGCCTCTGGAGTAACAGTCCTTTGGGTATATCCCCAAGAGTGGTATTGCTGGATCAAATGGTAGATCGATGTCCAGCTTTTTAAGTAGCCTCCAAATTTTTTTCCAGAGTGGTTGTACTAGTCTACATTCCCACCAACAGTGTAAGAGGGTTCCTTTTTCCCCGCATCCTCGCCAACACCTGTTGGTGGTGGTGTTGCTGATGATGGCTATTCTAACAGGGGTGAGGTGGAATCTTAACATCCCACCGCCACTTTTATAGGCTTTCCCACTCCTGCTTGCTGGGTGCACGCCACCGCTCATGCCCTCTCTGGCCCTGCTTGTTTATTTACAGTTCTGTGAGGGATTTCCCCTCTCCCCACCTCGGCGCTCAGGGTGCCCCACCTTCTTTGCTACGTGTCTTTTTTGTTGTTATTGCTTATTATTCAGGGTTTTTTTCTCTTTTTTTCCCCTGGGTGGGGGTCGGTTTGTCCAGGGGGGCTATGCTGATCTGGCCCAGGTTTGTCTGTGGGAGTACCACGTGTCACTTAGCTCACCTTGTGGTCTGCATCTTCCGAAGCAGTCTGGGTGCTGCCGTCTGGCAGCCTGGGAGCCCTCCTGGTTTCTCCATTTAACGTGAAGTGGAGATGCTATGCACAGGCTGGAGGTGTGGAGGAGTCAAAGTTTTGCCTCTTTTTGGTGGTTTTTCCTTTAAGATATATCTCCTGCGTCTCTCCAAGATTTTACTTTAGGAGGCATGCTTTCTGCTTCTTCCCTGTAGCTGCCATCTTGGAATCCTGAAATTATTCTTTAACTTGTGAGATCCCTGACTCAAGCTCACCAATCTTCTATCACCAGATGATGGAGTCTCACAAGGTAGATGTTGCAGCAAGGATTTATTTAGTATAAAAGGATTACTTAGTGAGAAATAGGGGAAAGGGAAGAAACATTTTCTGTCCCCCTATTCAGGAAATGGGAGTTAAGACTTTGTTTTTGCAGACTGGGGTTTGAACTCAGGATATCAGGCTTGCTAGGCAGGTACTCTACTACGTGGGGTCATCTTCCAGCCTGAATAAAGACTCTTAATGCTATCTTTAAAAGAAAGTTTCAGGCATCTGACATTAACAAAGATGATTCAACAGGATAAACATCATTTGAGTAGTTGGTAGGATTTGCTTTGCCTTCCTGATTATAAAGAGAAGTGAATGAAAGAGCTTTCTTGATGTTGAGATGATTTCTTCCATCTTCTAGTTCTTTCCTCTGAGTGTCGTTCTCAAAGACTTGGAACACCTAAGTCTGTCAGTAAAGCTGTGCCCAAGAGCAGGGCTGGAGTGGACCTAAGACCGAGGATGTCACTGGAGAAGCCTGATCCTCAGAGTGAGCAAAGTGATCAGAAGACATTGTTTTCAAATATTCCAGAAAGCAGGTATTGATATAACATGTAACTATTGATTTAACAGATGATGACAGTAAATAAATCACTTCAGCTGGGAATGTGGCTCAAGTGGCAGAAAACTTGCCTAGTAAGCCTTAGGCACTGAATTCAAACCCCAGTACTGCAAAAATGAATGAATAAATAAATAAATAAAGTATCTTTTCAGATTGTTAAGCTGGAGTGGCTCAAGGTGTAGGCCCTGAGTTCAAACCCCAGTTTGCAAAAAAAAAAAAAAAAGCTTGATTGCCCAAAAGTAGTCCTGAAATAGAGCATCTTGGAAATAAGCAACTTTCTGCAATAAACGCAAAATGAGGCTAGAAAATTAGAAAAATAAGGTTTTTTTTTTTAAGCTTCAAAGAAGTTGATAAAAATATTTCTAATGAGGTACAAGTTAAGTACTTTGTGACTGAAATACATTGTTTTACAACTAGCAAGCAAGTGTAGCTAACTTGCAGGGTATGGCGGTACATGTCTGTAATCCCAGCACTTGGGAGATTAAAGCAGAAGGGTGGAGAGTTTGAGGCCAACCTGGGCTACATAGGGAGACTCTGTCTTCATCTGTGACTCTAAATTTAGCTGAGATTCAAAGTATTGCTGGTAGAGCAGCATTAGCCTGGCTGATGGCATGGTACAGGCTTGTGATATTTTAGGGAAAGAATGCATTGTTTGTAAGACCACTCTACAATAACTATAATTCTTTCCTTCCATATCAGGGTGACTCTTGGACCATATTCCATCTTTGACCCATTCCCTAAACTAACACCCTCCATAAAGTATAAACAAACACACGTCAAAAAAAATAGCAATATGTTTAATTCCCTGAACATAGTGCTGCTTTTTTTCTTTTCTTTTTTCAGAAACAGCAGACTAGAAGATGCTCAGTGTCCGGAATTACAAGACTTAATTGAGGTAAGTCATGTAAATCCTACTTCAAGGTGGTAAATAGCCCAGTATGTAATCTGTTATGTCACTATAGGTAGTAATTCTATTAAAAAACAAAAACAATTTCAACTGGAAATTCAAGTTAATCATACAACAAAAACAATTTTTGTTTCAGTGGCCTTTGGATTATTTAAAACTTTAGTGCCTTTTGTAGTCTTCAGCTCACATCAACATAAATACGGAACCAGCAAACTCAAGTTGGTATCAGCAATCTTTGTAAACCAAGTTTTGTGACATAGTCATGCTCATTTGTTTATTGTATCTGGGGGCTTTTGCAATACATTGGTAGAGCTGAGTAATTATGACAGACCTAAAATATTTACTACCTTATCTTTCAAGGAAAATGTTTGCCAATCCCTGAACTTGTTGTAGGTACTTGTTGAGCAACTTGCCTTGATTCGTATGACTTCTATCTGAACTAGTTGGCATGAGACAAGACACTCAGATTTACAGTGTTCTTTAGGTTGTCACCCTTCTGTCACACATACACACAGCAACAAGTTTTGGTCATTAACTAAAATGGCCATTTTTATACTTCCAGGATACAGATAAGATCAACTTTGAGATGCATTGTTTACCCAGTGAAAGAATGAGTTTGCCTCTTGGTGATGGGGTAGCAGATGACACTACTACTAGCAAAAAAGACATTTCAGATGTAGAAGGAATGGAACTGACTTCTTCAGTTACCTCACAAGATGTGTTGATGAGGATCCCCGAAAAAGATACATTACAAAATACTATCTCAAAACAAGAAACTCTACCTTCTCAGTCAGGTAAGAGCTTTTAAAATAGTGAGGCTTTGTTAAAAAGGCCATAAATTATCATAAATTTGAGTACCAGTTTCTAAGACTGAAGATTGAGAAATTGGACACTCACAGAAAATAACTCATGAAAAGTAGTTTAAGAGTACTCTGCTCTTGACCCTGTGCCTTGGTGGAGACCTAATGAAAACCAATAGCAGACACTGACATACATCGGATATAATGAGTACTTCCCATAAGATCTGTTTGGGAGCCTCAGTGTCAATGAAAACTCAGAAAACTTCGCTGATGGCTATCCTTACCTACTTTGTTGTTTATTCTAGAAGAGGAAGTGGGTCTTATATTTTTGTTACAATATAATGTGTGCCTGTTTCACCTGTTACTTTCCTCTGCTACTCTGTGGTGCTAGTCTTTCTGAGACCTGAGGTAAAATAACCATGGCCAGACATTTAATACCCTCTACCTGTTCTTCCAGGGACCTTTAATCTTACAAGCATGAGATTTGTTTAGACACGTTTTTATTTATTTTATTTATTTATATGGAGTTTTTTCTTTGTGGTGCTGGGTTTTAAACTCAGGGCCTTGTGCTTACTAAGTAGGTACTCTTCCACTTGAGCCCTTCCACCAGCCCCCAGCCCTTTTATGTGTGTGTATGTTAGGTATTTTGGAGATAAGGTCTCAAGAACTATTTGCCCAGGCTGGCTTCAAACCATAATCCTGCTGATTTCTGCCTCCTGAGTAGCTAGGATTACAGGAATGAGCTATAGAGCTCGACTAGACTCCTTTTATATCAAAGTTAAAAATAAGAATTTTGCCAAGTATTTTAATTTCATTATAATAAATACGTAGCATAACATGGCCTTTTTTTTGCCTTACCATTTGTTGTATAGAACTCTTTTTGTCTTTCAAGGTTTTATCCATTTATAACAACCATTAACTCTGAGACTATTCTTTTAAACTTATCTTTTGTCCTTGTTTTTCAGCACTATTTGATCATAAAAATGTCACTACTGCATGTCATCTTCTTGATTCAGTAAGTTTTCCAATTTAATTTGATAAGTTTCTTTATATTCTAGATAGATTGTTTCTGAGACAGGGTCTCACTATGTAGCCCAGGCTCACCTCACATTTGATCCTTCTGCCTCAGCCTCCAAATGCTGGAATTACAGGTGTGTACTACCACTCCTGGTTGTACATTTGTTTTATAAAATGAATATTACTCACTTTTCTATTTGTGTGTGAGGTTTAAATTTTTATATACTATTGTTTTTGTTTACTTTGAAACCTATTATTCGTTTTTCTAAAAATGGAGAAAAATATTCCTTGTTTACTTACTCTAAAAAATAGTATGAAGATTTACTTTCTCATATGATTTATATATCAAATTTGATATGACAAATTGGCTGAATACTTGAATATCTAATGTGTGACTTGGGTTGTGCTAAGTATTTCTAAGTAATGCAAGAAATGCCCAAGACAAGACTTCTGCCTTTTAGAAACCTACCAGCTTGTTGGGGGGACACAGGGAGGTGGGGTATGTCTATCCTACTTACAGTCATCTTTATTTTCATCCCGATTCATTTATATTTTGGTATTTAGGTTCTGCTATTTTATTTGGAAGCTTCCCAGACATTACTCTTGGTGGCCTGTCCTCTAAATTTAGTTCAAACATTATGCCTTTCTGTGACACCTTTCTATTAAAGCTCTCATCTTCCACGTTCGTTTTCGCACAGGCCCAGCGCACGGGCACATAATGCATGCGTTAACTTGAGTGTTTTATGAGTGTGTTGTGTTCCTGAAACATTCCCTTATTGACACTGAATTCCTCATTAGCTGCCCAACTTCTACCCACTGATACTGGTAACTGTGACATGCATGGGATAGTTCTCTTTCCTATTAATTGTTTACAGCATTGGTTTCAGCCTCACCCTGTGACATTTTTATTTCAGTAATTTAGATTGGGACTTTGTCTTTTTTTTTTCCTTCATGAGGTGATTCTAATGGATATAGTTTGGATCTACACTTGTGGTTTACACCCTAAACTTGAATGTTTCCAGGACCAACTGTTAGAATGGGATTGTTAATCTTTGATCTCAGATCATAAGAAATTTATTAAAGCACGAGTAGAATTAAATAGCAACAGTTTTTTGTCAACCTCATGAAGTCCTGAAGATACTTGAATTCCTTAAGGATCCTTGTGTATCTTGGCTTGTGTTATCTTTCAAAGCTGCCTTGTTTGTGGTTAGGCTCGGGGCTGCCCTGTGTCTTGATGGCAGAAGTGGTTTTTTTCTTTGTTTTGGCCTTCCTTGATATAAACTGAGACCTAGAAGATCCAGAACCTAGCATTAGGCCAATTTATGTAAAACTGATTTAATACCATTTAAGAGCTGAACTCCAAATGATTGGTTCTGATAATTCATAAGTAAATCAGGAAATCATTAAACCATGGTATTCTGTTTTTGATGTTAGTAATATGATCAAAGGTGCCACACAGTTACATGTTATATCATCAATAAATCTTACTACTTTAGTTTCCCCACCATTCTTTCTATTTTCCTAAATATTAAAATGTAGATCTGTAATCCATCTGTCTATTTGGGCCAAATTATACCTTGCCAGCAGCATCATTTGCAACTGAAATAGGACTTGAAGGGAAAAGAGAAAAGGTTACCAGTAGGATCGATCACACTCTGGTAAAAGTCCAGTAAGTGCTGTTGAGCAGTTTAGGATTGGTGTAATCTACATAAATAGCTTCAGATGTAGCCTCAGTTTTTATTCAACCAACTATGCTAAGTCCATTTATGTAACAGTTATATCTTAGGCATGGATTCCTAGTAGGACTTTTCAATTAAAAATTATTTGAAATTAAGCCTGCTTAAAAGTAGCATAATCATTGTTATTAATAACATTATTGTTATACAGAGGAACTTATTTATGTTATTTATTAACTCACAGTTATCTAGCAGCATTGAAGATCCAATTGGGGAAACTCTTGGTTACTTTAGTGACTTGTCTGATTTTGTTCTCTAGCCAGGCCTAAACCTCGGTAGTCCATGTACTCAGGTGGAGAGCAAACATCAAGAACACTCCAGACACGTCTCTTTTGGTGGTAACCTGATTGCCTTTTCCCCTCTGAGGCCTCTCAGTGGAGAACAACCAGGAAAGTTTTGAATTTAAAAATAAATCCAAACGTTTTTCTTCGTATTATCAATGCTGTGATATATTCTTAGACGAAAGGACATTTGAAGAATATGTATCTGTTCACTTCTACTCAGTCCACCTGTGTAATGTCATGTTTTACTATTCAGTGTTCATCAAAGTGTATTTTAGATATGATATTGTTTCTCAAGGGAAGTAGGGATATTTTGTATGTTGACTGCACAAAATAAAATAGGTACTTTTTCTTGCGTCTTTTGTTTAAAATGTATAACTTTGAAGCCAAGAATACTTACCTATAGCTTATAAACATTCTTTAGGTTAATTTAAATATTAAACTTTGACCAAAATATTTGTATCCTTTTATATTTTATATTTCATTTGACTTCCTAAGTATATTTGAATTCCTAAATATATTACACTGAGTAGCTTTGGGGAATTGCATTTTCCAGGTTATAGTAAGTTTCTTTAGATGAGCTTTCTGGATTATGAAGGCAGTTCACATGCTGCAATTTCAAATGGTTAAATTATTAGGTGCCCACTAAGTTCTTATTCTTGTTTTCTCTTTAAGAAGACCAGCCACCATTAACACAAATCTTATCAATCACATAATGTGTTTGAAGTATTTTCTCTTTTAGGCTGGGGGTGTGGCTCAAATGGTAGAATGCCTGCCTAGCAAATGTTAAGCTTTGAGTTATAGGCATATTTGTTTTTTTTTTTTAATAAACTTTTTAACTCTAGGATGTAAAACACAGAGCTACAGAAATAACAGCACCAAAAGACTGAATAGCAAATGCTTATAACCAGGTCTGCATTGTTATTTTGGTCTGAAAATGAGGATTTGACAAGTAGGAACTTTATGGGTAAGCCTTTAAAATTAGGGGTTTTCAAACAAGGAAACTCACTGACTTCTGATGCTAGAGGAGGATGTATTAGGCTTTGGAGAATGATGGTATTTTTTAGAAAGCCTGAGTGAGCTATTGGGAGGCTCTGTGAGGTGCTGGCCTAGAAGAATGTTCTCAGAATGCCTTCTTTTACCAAAAGATAAAAGAAGCTTTAAGCTGGGCATGATGGCACATACCCATAATCCTAGCATTTGAGGTTGAGGCAAGAGGAGTGAGTGGGGGAGGAAGGTGGCCCAAACAATGTATACACATATGAGTAAATGTAAAAATGATGAAATAAAAAGAAAATAAAAAAATAGGACTGAGAGTTCAAGACCATCCTGAGCTATACAGTGAGTTCAAGTCTAGCCTGAACTACATAGCAAGACCCTGTCTCCAAAAGCCAAGAAAAAAAACCAAGGTACCTTTAACAGCCCATGAATGAATAATTCAAATAAGCATGCAGAAAAAGGAAATATATATATATGTTTATAGTTTTCTAAGAGCCCAAGCCCATGAACACCTAAAGTATTGGTAAAGAGTAACCCAAGACTATATATAAAACAATATGAATATGCAACATAACAATAAAATGTCAAGGACAAAGTAGACAAGAATAAGGCAATGTCAGTAATACTGCCAATAATAATAATAATAAACCATGAATTGGGGTAGGTTTAATAGAAACACTATTGAGTCATTTAGAAAACTTTCAGTTATTTAGACGTTCACATCTTGAGAAAAACTCTGTAACTTTTGTGAATATATGTATACATTTTTTTCCTTCCTAGCTTTGAATTTGTCTAATAAATGTTATCAAAGTGACCTAACAATAAGGAAATTCATTATTTCACAAGTTACCAAGGTAATTCCAATAACTGTTTTACAATTGACAGCCCAAGGTCCAACATTCCATCCATAGTTGTTTCCATCATCCCCAGGGTTGCCTTCTCCTCTATGGCAGGGTCCTTTTGGGGTCATAAGATGGCTGCTAGTAGCAATCAGAACTCCGTCCTTCCCTTTAGTTGGTTAGGCCAACTAATACCACATCCTCGTCTGGAAGTCAGGGAGTCAAGCATTACACTAATCAAGAATTCCTATCGAATCTGGGATAGTACCTAAATAAAATCAGGCCTGCTAGGAAACGGAATAGATACTGAGTAGGCCACCACAAATGTCAGTGTCTCTCACAAACAGATAGGGTTCGTGGATTCTAGAATTATGATGCATTATGAAAACCTTCCAAGACCAAAGTAGAAAGGAAACTTCCATTTATTGAGCACCTACTATTTGGCCCTTTGCAAACAAAGTTTTTATTTTAGTTTTTGACAGATTGGGATCAAGTGGTAGAGGGTCTTACGCTTGTGCTTACTAGGTAAGCCCTCTACCACTTGAGCCACACCTCCAGCCCAAACAAAATTTTATGTAGTTAAAGTAAATCTATAAGATGTGTGCATTTTATAGGCAAAGGGGTCAAGGGTCAGAGGATTTAAGTAATTTTGTGTAAACCAAATTTTTCCGTCTCAAGCTTTGAAGCCAGCCCGTTCAAATAGTTCCTTGGAACCTATCTCAAAAGTACTTCAAAAAAAGGGCTGGAGGGGTGGGTCAAGTGGCAGAGTGCCTACCTAGCAAGCAGGAGGCCCTGAGTTCAAACCCCAGTGCCACCAAAAAGAAAAAAGGCCAGAAAATGAGGATAAGGAATTGACATAGTTATTGGAATACAACATGATGCACTGTGAAACATCACTTTCAAACCCCAAGGAAGTGCAGCCAGCAGCGGCAGACAGCCTGAAGCTTTTTGTACATGAATCCAGCCTCAATTGAGGAGAGCCATTATACCCAAGGCCACACTTTTCTGGGTGCCTTAGATTTAGTAATTGACCAAAGTGGGCATTGAAAAGTCTGGCCCCTTTGCAACTCTAAAGGGTCATCCCAACTTCAGAACACCCTACCCTTCTAGGGTAGGCAAATAGTTCAGAAGACCCTATCTCAAAAATAACCATCACAAAAAAAGGCTGGTGGAGTGGCTCAAGGTATAGGCGCTCAGTTCAAACCCCAGTACCAAAAAAAAAAAAACCTCTAATTAAACGACATAAAGACAAGACAGCTGTTAGCATAGAATATTTATTAAATTTGTGGCTTACAAGAAGGATATATATGAATAAATGTAAATTTGTCACTCACAGTGAACATGAAGCTTTTAAATGTTAAAGCTTAGATTCAATTTTAAGCATCCACACTTTCTAGATTATATCATAGTGGATGAAGCACTGGTGAGGTTTATATCACCAGAAATTCCCAGTGTGCTGATTTCATGGAGATTTCTCATCCGATGATTGTACTGCAACAAGTGAGCATCATTGACTGCAACCTTGAAGTGGTCAGGTTCAACCAGGACTTGTATCTGAAAAGTCACATACACAACTGTCATGGTAGGTAATGTAAATGTTACCTAGCTCAATTTAGCCATTCCGTGATGTGTACACATTACATATTTCAAAACATTGTATATAACATAATTTTTCTCAATTTACATTAAAAGAAAAAAATACCCAATAATTTCAAACTAGTCTACCCTGAGCTCAGAGTGTCTAACATTTCATTTTTATCATTTGTGGAACTGACTCAGATCCAGAGAAAGTAACTTTATAGCAAAAATTAATTCCTGATTTTTCATAAAGAACAACAAAAAGGATGAAGTAACAAAATTATTATGTAAATGAAGCCATAAAAGGAAAGGCAAATAATTTCTCTACATAAAAACTCAAATTTTTTTGAACTGGAGGTGTGGCTCAAGCAGTATGTTCAAGCTCCTGTACAGCCATTAAAGAAAAAAAAAAAAACATACTGGAAAAATACCAAATTAAAACCTCTGTGAATTTAGCAGAATGGGTAAAAGGATAGATGACTTTTTACTTAAACATACGTAAATTTTTTTTTCATAAAGCAATTTTTAAAGTTAAAAAAAGCTGGGTGTGGTGATGCTGACCTGTAATCCCAGCCTGTCAGCCTGTCAGAGGCAGGATGATCTCAAGCTCAAGGCTACTCTGAGCAAATGAGGGAGACCCCCCCAATCTCAAAAACAAAAAAGGGCTAGGGATGTAGGTCTCTGGTGGAGCGCTTGCCTCACATGCTTTAGGGCCCTGGGTTCGATCCCCGCTACCTAAAAAAAATTTTTTTGATCACAATGCCAACTATGTTGTTTTTAAGGAATTAAGTAAGTCTCAGTCTACATGTACCGTAAAGATTTTACTGCCTTTCTTTTCTTTGACAAAATGATGCTGTTTTTAATTTCTAGAGAAGTTTAGACTGAGGTGGGTGGCAGCAGTGGTGACGAGGTGCCTGAATGGAATTCGGAACCTGCCATTCCTGGCCCTGTTTTCAGCCTGCCAGGCCTCCTTCCCTGGGAGGGTCTGGTTAGGCGTCCCTGGCCAGGTGGTAGACATTCACGTGTGTTGTGGTTTTAGAGTGATACTGCACGATGAGCATCCATCATCAGCATCGGAGAGTATCCGGCACTTACTTTGAATGGCTTCCCAATTTCAAAGGGGAAAGTCGGCTGCCTTTCTTCCTTCCCCAGGTGTTGTTCACCTTCGTGTTGCACACGATGACCCTGCGGTGGTTCTCGTTGAAGCGGGGGTTAAAGTGGAAGGCGACATCGTTCCCCCTCTTGAAATCCAGAGCGAGTCTGTTTGAAATCAAAGGCCAGAGACCAAATGATGAAAGCCCGCGTACCAAATGAACGCAAGTTCTCAGAAGTAAATCTTTTCATAATATACAGGAAAGGTTTATGAGTGGGTGGTACACAAGCCAGAACGGATTCGAATGGAAGGAGCCTCAGGATGTTCTGAACCATCAGACCGCTTGTGTTGATCCTTTTCTTCCTCTTGTCTGCGGTCCCATCATTCCCTTCCAGCTGTAACGCCCACTTTACAGACTCTACTCATGAAAACCCTCCAAGGGGCTGGAGACTTGGCTCAGGTGATAAAGCACCTGCCTAGGAAGTGCAAAGCCCTCAGTTCAAATCCCAGTACAGCCAAAAAAGAAAATCTTCCAAGGTTTCCTTGCAGAGGGTAAAGCCATTTTGAGGGCATTTTGTGCCTTACTATATATAATAATGGTTTTCTTTTTCTCCCCTGATGGGCTGCTTTTAATACCTGTTAAAGACAAGGCAGCTGCATCAGTAAGAACCATCAAATACCTGACTTCCTCTTGGTTAACCAGAATCCTAGCTCCTCCACAACAGCCAGGGTGTTTACTTCCTGTTGCTAAGTTGTCAAGTCATAACAATAAATATGTTAAACATTCCGTAATGTGAGGTGGGACTAAAGAAAATGCCAGTTAAATTTTGACCTTTTTCCTTCTCCATGGATACTAATGCAACACAAGTCCTCCATGTTAAAGGCCTAGCTCCACCCTGGTTTCTTAAGGTGTGCTCCCTAGAGTGCTAAACCAGAATAAGCTGATGTCCTTGTTCAAAGCAAAGTCTGTCTCTAGACAGACTAACAGTGATTCTCTAGATATGCTGAATAACTCAGCAACTGTCACTTTCAATCACAACTGTATCTCCCAATGGTTAAATTCACAGGGAAAATGGCAATAAATTTATATTTGACTAAATATGCAATGCTCAATTTCTTTGGCAATGAAAAGGAAGCTATTATCTCTGTCACCTTACAAACTTTTTTTTTATAGTGTTGAGGCTTGAACTCAGGGCCTTGCACTTGTTAGGCAGGCACTTTACCAACTCCCAGACCCTAAGCACTTTTTTTAAAATGCAGTTCCTCATGTACAGTTTGTAGGACTAATCAACAGTTTTTTCAGTTTACTACCATTAACCATTTCAACCAGAATTAGCTTTGATCGTCAGCTCTCAGTCTATATCTCTAGTGTTACTGGAATTAAACTTTCTAGTGTAATGACCCCAAGGTAAGGATACTATGTGGTTCTACCTTATGTTATATAAAATATGGATAGGGACCCTGGCAAAGGAGATACATATATATACACACATAGTAACTATAATGTATAAAATTATGTACTACATAATAATATATTTTGTGTATAATATGTTATATGGATAATATGTATTATATGCACACCTATATTACATACATAGTAATTTACTGTCAGACAGGTTTTCCTTAAGACCTGTTAAAATTCAAGATAAATAATTCTTTATTCAGAAACCAGTCAACAGATACGTTAGGTTCTAAACACTGCCCTCCTTACCTGTTTGCATTGGGCTTCACTGTGCCCAGAATTGTTATCAGCATACGAGGCATGACTCCTCCAGGCAAGGGCAGGTCATAGGGCACAGCCTGGGAATGACAAGTACATATGTGTCAATGAAGCATGGGAGAAAGAAAAAAATTATTCTGCTAAAGTTGAATCACTATTAATATTTGTGACTAACACATAGCCCTAGCCCAGGCCATCTGTCCAAATTCAGGCCACCTTGCTTACAGCCTAAAGAGATGAGGTTCTTACACAAATGATAAGAGAATAAAAAATCAAAAAGGAGAAAATATTCCCTTTGGGAACACCACTAGTATTTCAATCCATAACTCACAGGGATGACTTTTGGGAAAAGCTTTACCTAGACCTGCGATCAACATTAACTTTCTGTGCTACTCATAATACCTGTCATGTGACATACTGCACTAGGTTACTCTGCTCCATGAGGACAGGTTTGTGTCACATTCAGGGACTTCAGGCTCCTCGTGGGCTTGGTACTCAGGTCACCAGCAGAATGCTTTGTGCATGGCAGATTCTCAGTGTCTGTGGAACAAACACTTCTTGCCTACTGTAGCTCATTCCACAAATGTTTACTGACCGTCTATGTTCAAGATTCCTAAGCTCAGTCCATGGCCTCTTCTCTTTCCCTTTGTTTTTGTTGGTGGTGGTACTGGTGCTTGAATTCAGGGCCTCACGCTTGCTAGGCAGGTGCTCTACCACTTGAGCCACAACTTCAGCCCTTTTTTGGGCTGGGTTTTTTTCAAGATAGGCTCTTGTGAACTATTTGCCCAGGACTGGCTTCAAATTACAATCCTCCTGATCTCTGCCTTCTGAGTAGCTAGGATTACAAGCATGAGCCACCAGCACCCAGCTTCTTCCCTTTGTGATATTTCCCCCTGGCTTTAACCTTTACCTAAATCTTTCATTTCTAACTCTGATCTGTATAATGCTATATGTCCTCCTACCTGGATTTGCTCCTAGTGCCTTGAGTCCAGCAGATATGAACCAGAAGGGTCTCCCCTGCTCCATTCCCATCAGTGCTCTTTTCTACATTCCCAGTTTGGGCCAAAGTTTTGCTGATGTTCTCTGGCTTCAAAAGCCAGAGATCTGACTCCCACCGGATCCTGGGGCTTCTTCCTCTGCAATCGCTCTCCTATCTGCCTGTTACCCTCCATGGCATTCATGGCCCCTTCTGCCTACAGCTGACCAACCCAGCTCCACGCCCCGACTCCAACCCACACTTTCTCTGAGCTCTCCTCTAAGCTGTCTCAAAGGGAGATGCTGCTGCTTTGTGCTGTCTTCTCCACAGTCCTACACTGTTGTGTAACTCTGCACTTTTACATCTGATCTCCAACTAGACTACAAACCTGCAAGGGAGGACTCTCTAAGGCACATGTGGGTTCCCATCCCCAGAGTTGTGTTTTCCTTTGAATGCAAGTTCAGTCCTTAGATCACACAATGACCTTTCTAGAGGGCTTTTCAAAACTGGATTACCTTGGTTTCCCCACATGTTCCCTCGATGACCCTGGCCAAGCTAATATAACTCCTCCATTGCACCATTTCCTCATGTAGAAAGTGGGGATAACAACAGTATCTTCTCGGTGGTTATGGGGTTAAATAAGAGAACACATAGACTCATATGCTGTTGTGTTGTGTACTCAGTGTCTATTTAATAAAACAACTAAAACATTGCCCATTGACTGCAATCTTTTCTTTACAGTCCTGGGGATTGAACCCAGGGCCTCATGCATGGCTAGTCATGTGCTCTCCCACTTTAAGCTATGCCCTAGCCATCCACTGCTAAATCTTACCTAATTTATATTAAAGCAGCTTTATCAATGCCTTCAAAAGTTTATTATGCATAGCACTTAGACTAGTGCTATGCACAATAAACTCAATACAAACACATTTTTTTCTATTTGGCTAACATACACCTGTGGCTGTTCCTTGAAGTGTCTGTAAGATCTAAGCAGCAGATTTAAGGCTTCACATCTCCCTGCCACCCTTTGTACATCAAGTTCAAGAGCCAACTATTCTGTCTTACCAGTGGTCCAGCAGGGGCACCATAGGGGCCAGCTGCTGGGTAGGCCCCAGGAGCACTCGGGTAGGCCCCGGGCCCGCCAGATTTTCCTGGGTAGGCTCCAGATGCTGGTGGGCCAGCAGGATAAGCTCCAGGTGCTGGTGGGCCAGCAGGATAAGCTCCAGGTGCTGGTGGGCCAGGATAAGGTCCTGGTGGTGCCTGCCCAGGATAAGGTCCTGGAGGTGCCTGCCCGGGGTAGGCCCCTGGGTAGCCCCCTGCCCCAGGCTGGTTCCCCCATGCACCAGGCCATCCTTGAGGGTTTGGATTTCCAGATCCAGATAAGGCATCATTAAGCTGCAAAGAAAGACATAAACAATTACAGGATAGAAGCATTCACAAAACAGAATTGACAGGAAAACAAAAAAGCAAAGGGTGGGGAAATATAGGAGAGGTATGAAATTCATACCAATGAACTTCCCCATCTCTAAATAGGTTTGGGAATTCTATCTGCTTTTTCACGTTACTCTGGCCTCTCATCAATTCAGATCAGGCAGGGCTGCTACTTTTCATACTTTACTTAGGTATGGAGCTGGCTCTCCTCTGTCTATAAGCACGTGCTTTCTCATCGTCATCATTTCTCACAGTCAAAACGTCAGGGTCCTCGGACTGTGCTGCCGGCCTTCTGCTTCCAGCAGGGTGAAAGTTTTCTGGGGCTGAGTCCCAGTCTCTGTCTGGCTCCCTTCCCAAATCTGCAGCTGGCAAAACAACTACAGCTAACAGGCCCCCAGTGAACAAGTGAGGCAGAGGAAACTGTGTTGTGGGAGAAAAGCAAAAACCTCAACCCTCAGCCCATGCGACTGCATATGAAATACTTACCGAAAAACCGTCTGCCATTTTCCTGAGAGAGAGAGAAGAGAAAGACATTATTATTTTACCCTAAAATATTTCACCAATCTCCATGAAATTTAACATCTCAAATAGCTCATGGGCAGTTCTAATAAATCCACTATTGCCTAAGTCAATAGTGTGGAACCACAAAAGCGTCGCATCAATGTTTTATTAACTCATAAATTCAAACTTTGATCATTCTAGCTTGTGTTCTGAATCCTGAGAGCAGAAGACCATGCAATGCCTGAAGAGAAGGAGCAGGGAGAAAATGTTTTGCCTCTTTCTTACATAAAAAATGCAAACAGTCATGGCTTCTCTTGGGCCTCCTTCACATTCCTTCCTGCACTTTCTCCACTACCCCTCGCAAAGGGTTCAGCACGGTAATATGGCCAACCTCCCTTCTTTTTCCATCCACAACCCATACCTTGTGGGATTTGGGAGGAAAGCAGTGTTTTTTGGTTCTTAACTTAGATCTGAAAGACAATGACCTCCTGATACAGCTGCTTCCTGCTTATGTATTCCTGCATTGGTAGCCAATGCTGCCTGCGCTGGGCCAGGCACTGTGCAGGGTCCTGTCCAGGTGTGAGGACGAACAGGCCATGATCTCTATGGTTGAAGGGGAGATGGGACACACACGTGGCAGTGTGAGATAATAAGATGTCATCAGACTGCCTGCTGTGGGGATTCAAACCCAGGAACTTACTCCTGAGATGGGAAAGGAACACCACATGGTGTTTGAGCTAAGCCTTTAAGGACAGGTGACGGCTGTGCCATCTTTTCCCCGGCCAGCCTGGCAGTTTGGGCCTGCCATTAAACTTTGCTCTATGAAAAAAAAAAAAAAGGACAGGTGTCATTTTTTTTTTTTGTACTTGTTATTCCAAATAAAATCCTGGAGGTAAAACCAACAAAGGTGGAACAGCCAGGCAATGTAGAGTAAAGTATTTGGGGATAGGTTGCTAGCAAACAAACAGGGCTTGTCTTGCCCAAAGCTGCCACAGAGCTGGTTTGGAGACATGGATCCTGCTCCTCCTGCTCCTTCCCGAGCCATACTGCCAAAATACAAGATACTAGACACCTACTCCTGCAGCTCCTGCTCCCCTCTCCCCGCTAGCTACATGGGGCAACTTTGGATTTTTTTTTTTCTTTTTCTTGTGGTGCCAGGGATGGAACCCAGGGCCTTGGACATGATAGGCAAACGTTCTACCACTGAGCTGCCCTCCCAGCCCTTTAGAGGGTGGCTTTAGACTCTTGCAAACTGGGTGAATTCTTTCTAAGTTCAGGATCACCTGTTTTATGGCCAAAGTAACCTGGACCTAGAAACAACTGGTATCCTTTCTTCTTTGATTTGCCTACTTGTGATAGTTACAGAGTCATTTGAAGAAATGATATTGTTCCTAAGGGATCCAATAAATGACAACTACCTGATAGGTCCTGAAAATGTAAAATATTACAGGTGAAAACACATACAGGCAGAGCTTCCCGCAGGACTTAATTTGCACTTCATTTACACGCACCTTATGTTTTTACATGGTACTGTTGTTATTTATAGCCCTGTCAAACATTACTTTTGACTAATATTTTTTGCACATCTTGTTTTTAATTTTTTTACTTTAACTTTTTTTTGGCAGTACTGGATTTTGAACTCAGGTTCTTGCCCTTGCTAGACAGTGGTCTACCACTTGAGCCACTCCTCTAGTTCTCATCCTGGGCGTTCTTGGACTTCACTCAGAGCAGTTAGGTTATGACTGTGTCCATCGCCCAAGGTGGGAAACTGCTGGCCGTTTGACAAAGAAGTCAGTGCACCCAGAGCTCACCATGCCTTCTCACTGTGTTTCCTATCGTACTTGACCTTTTTAAAGCAAATGCAGGGGCTCCTTATGCCCCTTCCCCACAAGTCTGCCACACTGCTATGCAGGAACTGTGCTGCCACACAGGAGGAACCTGAGAGAAGAATTGTTACAGAAAAGGAGAAGAAAGGAAACTTAACCTTTCTTTGGGTGGAGGGTGCTAAGGATGGAACCAGAGCCTTGAGCATGCCAAGCAGGCATACTAGCACTGAGCTGTATCCCCAGTCCTAGAAGGATATTAAAAGAAAATAAAACCTCTTTTATTTTGGAGGGTGTTTGGAAATAATCTTGAACTTCAAGGTGGGCAGTGAGCTTAGCACATATCAAAGACTCAACAATAACTTCATGAGGATTTTTTTTTTTCTTTTAGCCCAGGATGGCCTTGAACTTGCAATCCTCCTGCCTTAGCCTTTGGCATGCTAGGAGTACAGGTGTGTGCCACTAAACCTGGCTGTATAAGGATTTTGACTTTTAAATGTCCCCATTGCCCCGGGCACTGGTGGCTCACGTCTGTAATCCTAGCTACTAGGGAGGTTAAGATCAGGAAGATGGAGGTGTGAGGCCAACCCAGGGAAATAGTTCCCATGAAGCCATCTCCAAAATAACCGGATCAAAATGGACTGGAGGTGTGACTCAAGCAGTAGAGTGCCTGCTTTGCAAGCAGGAAGTCCTGGGTTCCCACCCCTCCTAAAAAACAGAATAAATGAATGTCCCTATTGCATAGGAGCTTATTCTGGACCCCGGCACAATTGTTACTCAGGTAGGATACGTCATGGCAGGGCGTCGTCCTGTACTTTGTTAGCTGTTCAGCAGTATCTGTGGCTTCAATCCAACACCCTAAAACTTGTGACAACCCAACGTCTTCAGATATTGCCAAATATGCCCTGGGGGCAAAGCCATGCAAATCTGAGACCGGCCAATCCAGGCTAGCCAGCATGCATATGCCTGTGTAAATGTACATCCATAGGACAACAGAAACCAACGAGTAGCTTTCATTGTTAAAACTAGCTAACTTTCACCCGGCATGGCAGCCACGATCAATCCCAGTACTCAGAGGCTAGGGTGGGAGGATGGTAATTTTGAGGCTAGCCTGGGCTACATAGTGAGACCCTATGTCAAACAAAGAAAAACATAAAACACCACCCAGCTTTCTACTATTTGGCCCATAACATGCCTTATTAATGTAACCGCAGTCAAACTGAGATGTCTGAAGGATGACTACAACTGAAGACTCAAAGGGGGTATTTCCACATTTAGCATTTATTCCCCAAAGCCTCGGATCAGCCTTGTTTATTTTCAAATCTGACCAGAGTTTGAGAAATAAGAGAAATTCCACTGTCTCCCATATGCCTTGGGTGACAGTTTGGACTGTATTGTGACACATTCCACAGGCCTGTTAGAAGAATGACACCCTGCATTTCTGCGGTGAGTTTCAGTGTGCAAAGCATTTTTCACATCGCTTATCTATTTTGATTCTGTTAGCAATCCTATGAGAGGGACAGGAGAAAGTTAATGCTCCTGCCTTCAAGTGAGGAAACTGAGGCTCAGAGAATGAAAGCAGGGCCCAAGGCATCCTCTCATTGGCAGCTCAGCCACCAGGGCCCAAGTCTCCTGACTCCTAGCTCCTGAAGCATAGTCCTAAAAAAGTGGACATCACTTGACCACTTGAGAATCAATTCTCTGAATTATTCATCCAGAACTACATAGCATGCTGAAATGGTAAACAAATTAAAAACAAGATCATGTTTTTGTCAGAAAATATGGGTGACTCATTCAGCACACAGTAATAGTGAATACAAGATGACATTTTGCACAGTCACTTACTAATTATAACCACATTTTTATATAACCACATTTTCATCAACAAACTGTGCTTTTCCAAAATTTGGGTAGGCAGTGTTTTGATTATGTCAACTTCCAACCATTAGTTCTTTTTTCTGAAAAGGGTTTTACCTGTATTCTTTTTTGGGGTGAGAGGAGTGTTAGTATAAGTTTTATCTTAGGGACTAGACATAAACACAAATGTTTACATGAAAGCAAAGACTGAAAATTAATGAGTTAGTGGCCCAATCTACACATAGCACACTGGTAAGGGTAACTCCACACTCACTGTATACTTCTTTGTTCCCAGTATAAATTATCTTGTAGTCACTCAGTGACGGGCCGGGCATTAGAATCCTCACACAGATTACATTCCTACGGTGTCCCACCTGTATGAGTGTTCAAGATAAGAATCACTGAAAATTTTCCAAATTTAATACACTCATGGGTTTTGCCTCCAGGAAGAATTTTCCTGTTTTTTTTCTAACATAAGAGCCATCCCTGGTGGTTACCTGTATTCTTTTGAAGACAATGTTAGCAATCTCAGAACTTCAGGGAGGAAAAAGATATGTTTTCATATAAATATCTACCTTACTTGCCTAAAAATTTTCTTTCTTTTCTTTTTTTAGAGAGGCATACACAATCAAATATCAAACATCTTCTCACTCTACAGGTTGTACAGACATATAAACTTATCCTGGTTCTCTCAGAATCAGAGAAAAAAAATGTATCAAAACAACAACAACAAAAATAGAGACACACTACCAGGGCCTCCATGTTTGGACCCATTAAGAGCAAGCAGTTCAGTGTAGATTTGGAATAAGGAGTTTAAACATGAATCAAAATGTAGACCATTTTAATCACCATTAATTGGTAGCTTTCCCGTTTAATAGAGTAGTTACCCACAGCGCTATGTTTCTCTGGGCTCACTTAGAAGTTGTCTGGGTTCCCACGATCGCTTCTGGGATTTCTGCTCATAAAGGAGGAGGCCTTCAAACAAACTGCAGTGAAGAAGAATGTGGGGGTGTTTCCTCAGGCTCCTGGACACTCCCCACACTCCTCTGCCAAGAACCCAGGCCAGGTGCTCCACTTCCTGCCCTTGCTAAAACATGGGGCAGGGTTTGAGGGAAGTCCCTTTCCAAAGCCAAACTCAGTGATGCTGACTTGGGACAAAGGAGGCTGCCCTTTCCTGGGGTTTCTTTCTGATCACACTTCTTCCCATCAAGGAAGGTAATGTTACCTCATGCTTCTCAGTTACTGATTTTCCCCCTTTGGAAAAGCTGAATAGAATAGCACATGACCTTTAGTCAGTTGGAGGCCTAAGGCAAGACGGCCCTGGCTGGCTTTTCAGTTATTCTCTCAGAACGTAAGGAGAGCCAGTTCAGGCACCAGATACAAAATGCTACCCAGCTACCCTCAGCAGAAACCTGCGTCCCAAACAATCAGAGCAAAGTTTGAAAGGCCATGTTGTAGGTGAGTCACTATGAGTCTCAGGCCATCTGGTAGCCAAGGTCAGCATAAGAGTCTCAAGTTACACTCTTCATACAGGCAAATAAGAACCTAAATTATAGGTAAGAGCAACATGGACCTCCTGAACTCACTATCAAGATAAGAAAAATCTTTCCAAAGCACCTATGATTATTTGTGGCACCATGAACAATCGTTGATTAAGGACCCCCCAATAGAGCTAGGCTCGCCCATTCTTCTTGAACATGACCAGCCTTGGGGGTCAACCCATCAAGCAGTACTCCGCCCCTTCTGCTTCCTGTATAGCTTAGTGAGGCCTCTTCCTAATGCTTCTGAATTCAGAGCATTCAAAGACCATCACCCAACTTCTCCCCAGAATACGGAATAAGTGCTGATTTTTAAATAGAAGTCCCAAACATTAGGAATTTAGGAAGCAACTCCGATTCCCCAAAGATCAAGGATCAGGCATTGCCCTTCCTTGGAAAGGAAGACCCTAACTTGAAAAAGATTTGAAATCAATATCCAAAAAGGAGACTACTGTTGCAAAAAAAAAAAAAAAAAAGTAAATATTTATTAACTTTAATTTTTATGAAAACACACAATTTCCTAATTTGAAAGGTTTATTCTTTTGAAACAAACAAGTTAGAATTTTGAAAGTTGGTGAAAGGTTTACCGCGCTCTATGCCATTATCATTTTCTTCATAGTTAACTGAGCCTGGCTTGCTTTCCTTTCCCAGGATCCTAGGAACAGACTGGGTCACTGAGATCCAGATGTCCTCATTGTCCAGCAACCCAACTCCCAAGAGTCACTTTACAAATATCCCAGTGCCTGCAATAGGAATCACTCCATACCTATATAGGTTAGGCTGAAACCCAAGTCACAGACTCAGTCCCTGTGCCCACTCCCTGACATTGGCACTACTCCTCAGAAGCAAGCGTGTTTTAAACCCCCCCAACACACACACACACCAACCAGGGCTCTGCACGCTGGGACCAGCGTTCTGCCACACCCAAAACTTCTTCAGCCCAGATCTGAGAAGTTATTGCCCAAATTAGCCAGTCTGGGCAGGGATGAGTCACTTGATTTGCAAAAGCTTAGGGGTTGCTGTCTTTGCCTGGCACGTACCCATTCAGGCCCTGGGCAGCACCATTTTCTGTGGGGTCAGCATTCAGAGAGCGGTGCAGCCCCTGTCACTGCTGGACCTGGCGCCCTGTAGAGCCCAGGGCAGTACCCTGGTGTCCTGGGAAGGGGGACCTGGCTCCTAACATCGGTCACCCGCAGAGGTTGGTCCCAGCCGACTGGCAGATGGTGGTGGTGGGTTCGGGCTTCCTCTGCGTGCACGAGCACAGCTGGCAGAGGGTGCCCGGTCCGCGTCCGCAGACATGCCTGCCGCCCCAAGGCCGTCTCAGCCCGGACAGCCCAGGGCTATGGTGGTGCCCACCCGGGCTGGCAAAACACCGACTGCCCGTTCTCGGCGGCCGCCCGGTCCCCGAAGCCGAGCCCTCCCTGGACAGAGCACCGAGCCGCTCCCGGGCGCCCTCGCCCTACCCGGCCTGGAGCCGCCAGTAGGTGCCGTGCCCTCCGCGCCCCCCCGCGTCCCTGAGTCGCTCACCCTGGCCTGGGCGCTCGCTCGCTCGTTCGCTCCGATGGCTCCTCGAAAGGTGCTGCGGGGCCGGGGCGGTGGCCCTGTCCTCAAGTACCGCCCGCCCGCCCCTCCCTCCTGCCGGGCGGGGCAGCGCCGGCCACCGCCTCTCCCCGGGGAAGTGCCCGGCCGCCCCGCGCCAGCCCGACCCCAGGCAACGCCCCCGGGGCGCAGAAGAGACGCTCCCGTCCCGACCCCGAAAGCAGGGGGAGGGCGGACCACAGGATGCGCCCCTCGGTGGCCCTCTGTCGCCCTCTGCGACGGTCACCAGAGCCCGGCTGCGACCGCGACCGCCACGCTCGGCAGAGTCTAGGGAGCACTAGGCATGGCACAGAGCAAGTGCTTGGTGACAGTTACCTGTTGTTATCTTTACCTCCACTTTGAAAATTCCTCTTGGACATCCTTAACCATTTCACTCCTAGGAAGTCTGTTTTCTCAAAGCAGAGAACGGTGACATCAAAAGCGTGTGCTTTTTTTTTTTTTTTTGCCGTGTTTACTTATTTTCCGTCTGAATCAATCACAGGCAATCTCATCCCGTCTCCATTTCCCCTTCCAAACCCTTTCCCGGAAGCGCGCCGTGACTCGTGTCACCGGAGGTCCTCGTCGCTTGGTGGGGTCTGCACGCATCCGCGCTCTGAACCGGGCGGGGCGCGCACGCACCTCTCAGGCGGAGGCCCAAGCTGTTTTGCTGTTTGCTCGCCTCGCATGCTCAGCCGTCTACTCGGGTGTCGCGCATGGTAGGTTCTCAGCAAAGATTTGTTGAAGAAAGGCATGAGTCAATGAATTGCTCCCTAGGAAGCCTGTTTGTATGTTTGTTTCAAAGACTGGAAGAGACCTGCAAAGCAGGAATCAATGACCTCAGAAGTGCCTTCGGTCAAGGCAGGAACAGAAAGAGCCAGGGCTGTGGGAAAGAGCGTACCTAGCCATGCTTGCAAGACGTAACATGTATTTGGTAGCATTTACCTGCGCAAAAACTGAGTGAGATGGTTAAAGGTGTCAAAGATGGAAGATTTTTAAGACTTCAGAGAGTAACGGCTAATATTTACCACCACTTGTGTATCTTATACTATGCCTAGTACTTTTCATACATATATGGGGTATTATTCTTAATCCCATTATACAGGTGAGAAAACTTAAATCAAGGGAAACAAATGGCAAGGGCTCACCACTCCCCTTGTGCTGCTTCTTTCTTTGCTTTCAATTAAGTTTTGCTAATCAGTACCTCCTTGCCATCAGGCAGGGGCCCACTGCTTTTCCTGCAGGGCTTTTCTTTTCTTTTTTCCTTACTATTTCCCGTTTGTTACTGTTTTGCAAGAGAAAAAAGAAAGAAAAGAAAAGAATAAAGAAAGACATATGGCCATGGTCATAACAGAAATTAAGTTGAAATGATATCAAGGGTCAAAGAATTCAGCCTTTGGAAATAGGATTTCAGTATTCAACAGTCTGGGGCGATTTAAAAAAAAATAAAGGCCGAGGGATGACGGGAGAGGAAAAGGAAGGAAGGAAGGGAAGAGAGGGAGGGAGGGAGGGAAAAGAGAAAGGGAGGGAGAGCGGGAGGGAGGAAGGACCAATAGCAGATCACCAAAAGTTGGTGGGTTTAGAAGTAAGAAGCTGTCGTTCAGAAGTGTGAAGAATAACTGACCACAAGGTGAAACTATCTGTGGACAACTGAGTGGCGTTGAAGGGGCAGCCCTTCACGCAGACATTTCAACACCGGGACTCTGCAAGAACCTCGGGATCCCCTTGAGCTGCTTTGTGCAGGAGCCTTTGGGTTTTCGGTTAGAGGAGGAAGGATTAGGACAAGGAGGACTTGTCCTAAATTGGAATCCTGGGGAGAGAGGCTGGGGGTGGGGGGATGTTGGAGGAGGTGGCAGGCTAGCTCATGGAAAACTGAGAGAAGCCGCAGGCATGCCAGCCTGTGCTGGCTACTGACTGGCAGGACCATTGGGAGGCTCCCTCAAGTAGGGTAAGGGGCATTCCCCACTGGGACATGGCAGTCTGCGGCTGACTGAGGCTGACACTGATTTGTTAGCCTGCTACAAGAGACTAACAGGATCTGAGAAGGTCTGCTTAGGGCACTGGGCCAGATGCACTAAGCAGGGGAGGGGCCCTGCTTGTGCAAGAATAGGGCAATGGGACACCTACCTATCGTCTCAGTGCAAGAAGGAGGACCTGCTGAGCTGACCACTAGGTGAGCATGATATGGTTGGTTGTGTCCTGTGTTCTGTGTTTCACATCACGGGGTCACTCAAAGCCAAAATGGAAACCAGAAATGTGATGTGATCTCATTGCTACGAAGTGACTGAAGGATAGTAATGAATGAAAAGTCTGAACCACATTTTTCCAAAAATACATGCAGAGGGTATTAGGTGACTCAAGTAGCCTGATGATGTTGACTACTTGGGATGCATCCTACGGCATCAGAGAAGAAAGAACATATAACAAAGAATGCCAGGTTGAAGGAAGCAATAATTCAATCTGGAATTTAACTCTGACATTTCTTCTTACTTCCTCCTTGCTCACCCTACCCTGGCCACAAGGGCACCCATGCTGTCCCACCCATGCTGTCTTCCTTTTGACCTGGCATTCCTACACCGGTTGTTCACCATAACTCTCTCCCCTCCTTCAGATCATTGCTCCGTTGTCACTTTCTCCATGAGTCTTTCCTCCCTACTTAAAATCACACCTTCCCACGTTCCTCCTGCTGCTGAACTCTTTGCTCTGTTCTGTCTCTCTTCTCCACAGCACGCATTGACTTCCTGTGTGCTATAGAATTGAATTGCTTTCTATGTCTACTGTTTATGTTGGAATCCCCCTGTCTTTCTCCCACTTCTGTCCTGAAGGCTGTTCCTTTGCTATAGGATTGACTAATGAACCCAAGTGGCACAGAGTCGGCACTCAATAAATATTTGCTAAATGAATAAATTCATGGTGTAACCACTGCAGAAGAATCCTGTGGGCTATTTGATTGGATGATTTTCAAAGTTCTTCTCTCTAGTTACTATTTAGTGCCCCTTAAAAATGATTTAACATGACTGGGAGCAGTAGCTCATGCCTATAATCCTAGCTATTTAGGAGAAAGAAATCAGGAGGACTGAGATTTGAGGCAAAAAAAAAAAAAAGAAAGAAAGAAAAGAAAAGTGAGATCCTATCAGAAAAATAACTGAAGTAAAAAGGTCTGGGAGTGTGGCTCAAGTGGTACAGCACCTGCCTAGGTCCTGAGTTAAAAAAAAAATAATTAAAAAGTGAAGAATTCAATGAATAGGTTGTTATTTTGTAAAATTCCAAAACAGAGAACTTTCAGTGTGACTTCCTTAGGGAAGTAACTAAAAATTGACTACTTACTTCTTTTAAATACATAAATCTAGTCTTGAAGCAATTCCCTTCTGAAGCGATTATCAGACAACCCTTTGATACATTTTACGTAGAAAATTCAAGTTGCACATGAATATGTGCAACTTTTAACTTCACCTCTTTTTTGTTAGAAGAAATGCTGAAGTATTGCAGTCGCATTTTTCTGTCAGGGAGCTATGGTTTGAGCCTCCCCCCTCTTTTTTTTCTGCAGTACTAGGGTTTGAACTCAAGGCCTCATACTTGCTAGGCAGGCGCTCTACCACTTGAGCCACTCTGCCAGCCCTGCTTTTTGTGGTGGGTATTTTTGAGATAGGGTCTCACAAACTATTTCCCCAAGCTGGCCTTGAACTACAATCCTCCTGATCTCTGCTTCCTGAGTAGCTAGGATTACAGGCATGAGCCCCTGGTGCCAGGCCTGGTTTGAGCCCTTGTGTTTCCTAAATTCACATGTTAAAATTCTAAGCCCCTAGGTGGTGGTATTAGAAGGTAAGGGCTTCGGGAGGTGATTAGGTCATGAGAGCAGAGCCCAAGAGGCCAAGCATAGTGGCTCAGGCCTGTAATCCCACCACTTAGGAGGCTGAGGTGGGAAGATAGTGAGTTTTGAGACCAGCATGGGCAATGTAGTGAGGCCAGGCCAGCCTAAGCTACATAGTGAGACCCTGCCTCAAAAATAAATAAATTGAAAAGGCCTGAGAGAGAGACTATGTCCCTTCCACCTGTGAGGACACAGTGCAAAGTTACCCTCTGTGAACCAGAAAGCAGGCCCTTACCAAGCACTGTGTCTGTTGGCCTTGATCTTGGATGCCCCAGCTTCCAGAATTTGTTTCTAAGACATCTACTCTATGTTTTTTTGTTAGAGCAGCCAAATGGAAAAGACACAGGAAGATGATTTGCTTATCAAAGCTCCTTCATGCCTAGGAGCAAATTCAGAAGTTCTGAGTTTTGTAATTTGTCTGGAAAAACGCTGAGCAAATGAACCCTTGTAGGGACTGGCTTATGGACACTCTGGAACAAACCATTTCTATTTCATCTATTTTCTACAGAATTCCATTGTTCACCCAATAACCAATTAATGTGAAGATGAGGACAGGTAGAGTGGCTCAAGCAATCAAGCACCTACCTACCAATCTTGAAGCTTTGAGTTCACACCCAGAATTGCCAAAAACATGACTAAATCATGTAAAGATTAATTATTTCATCCAGTCTTCCACAATTAGAGAGAAAGGACCACACAAAGCACTAGCTTGATGGAATTGAGACAGTGTCTTGGAATTCTGTAGGATAGAATTGGAAGTGTTTTAGAGGCTGGTCTGTCACTACATTGTGGTCCCCTGCAAGCTTGCACACAGAAGTCACTGTGTGGGTAGAGATTAAATAAGAGAGTATGAACTCTTCTCTGAAGAGGAAGCCTGACAACAGATTTATTTGAATGGAGCACTCATAGTAAATGATTACCCTGGATATTCAAAAGGATTTACCCACAGGAATGCCCTTTGTATCTTATGAAAATGCTGCAAGTCTTAAGACTTTGAGTCATGAGGCCACATGGGCAGGCGTGGTGCTATCAGAGGGCTAGCCGCTGGTAATAAGAAAATGGAGAGTCAAGCAGGTTGCTATGGAGACAAGAGATGAGTCACACTCTTGCCTTTCTGGTAACCTTTGGTCATTTTAGGGAGATG